TGTCTAGTAAATTTATGTTTTTATGTAATATATTTATTATGTTTTGTAACTTTATGTTATAGAATTATTTTCTTTACTCAAGCAATATAAAAAATTTTAACATATAACGTATATTAACTTTACTTGCAAATGGGTTGGTACGTCGTTAAGTTTGCAAATGAAGATACGGTTGAAGCAATACCAAAATCTTGGTACTTAAAAAATACAAAAGAATGCAATTGGCCCTCATCGCATTGGACTTCAAGGAAAATTAATGAATTTATAAAATTCAAGAAAACGCCAGAATCTGATTGGAATCTTCATAAAGTTGACATTTTAGGTAGCTATGGTAAGATGAGTATTTTATATATTTTTTACTTATATAACTAAACTATCTTTTTTATTGAAATAAAATAAATTAATAAAATAAAAGAATTAATAAATGAAAAATTAAGAAACTATTTTGCAACTAATTAAACAATTTACAAATAGAGACAGCGATTTATTATAATAATACTTTATTTATGCACAGTCATAAAAGTCTTCAAATCTTATTTTTAGAAGATCTATCTGTTGCTCAACGGAAAGCAAATAAGGCTAAATATACGTCTGATCTTTCGTCGCAAAATGATAAATGTAGGAAACAACATAGTAAACCAAAAGGGAAAAGAAACAAATCGACGAAGTATTTGTCTGACAATGACTCTTCTGATTTGTCACAGTATGAATCAGATATTAATAGTTATCCTCCCACAAGCCCTCTTATATCAAGTGGTAAGCATTTATTTTCTCTAAAAATATATTTTTGAGTTTCTATATAATAATTAATTTTACTATTTTTCTAGATGGAAACTTAGTTCAAAATATACCAACCGAGGTTGTAACTAAATCGACCGAATGTAACATTCCTCGAAATTTTGATGCTGGTAAATTAACACTTTATTAGTACATTTTGTATCAAAAACGGAAAATGATACTTAAGACAGGCACTGCAAACATGAAGCACAAAAGTCACTTTACATTCAAAACATAAAAAATAGTATTTTTTTCTACAATCGTTATCAAAAAAGTTTTATGCTTTGCTGAAAAAAAAGATTAAAATATTTACTTTTGTCTGTACTCCATGTGACGGTTGATTGTTTCCAAAAGATTTTACCTCTTTTTGTGATCCTCTAAATTCCATTGTAGTAATTGTGTAATATAATTCTAGTAATAAACAATAATAGTCTTTTTTAGTCACAAATGATTAGTCAGTAATAATCTTTTTATAATTCAATTAGTTTAAAAATTTTAGATTTCTAGAAGCAAGTATTAAAAGAACTAAATGCTATACACTTGAAATTGAATGATGTAATGGAAAGTACGGCTCTTTTATTAAAAAAACAAAAGAATTCAAGATGAGCCTACGACCGTCAAAGACATTCCACGTGTTGTCCATCTGTTTCCAATAAAAAATGAAAATACATTAGCTGAATTAGAGCAGTGGCTTAATGCAGATGATCAAAATAAAAAAGATTTGGTATGACCTTGAATAATTAAAAAATCGAATGCATATATATAGTGATAATTAATACTTATTAATACTTTTGTAACAATTTTAATTATTTCAGATTATTGAATTAAGTCGCGTTGGGGGCTTAAATGTTAAAGAGATCACAAGAAGAATTATGTACAAAATCTTCACAAATGAAGTTGGAATACTATACTCCTGGGAAGGAGCTAAAGGAAAGATATCCTTCAAAAATCTAGCAATAAGTTCGGTCATTTTGGGTAATTTTTTTGCTTTTTTTGTATTGCTTCACACATATTCTATTAAAATGGTTAAAATGGTTAAAATGGTATATAATTCGTAATATTTATATAATCTGACAATGAGTAGATATACAATAATATGTGTCAATTATTTTTGCAGATTTTCATAATTTAATTATCAGGAAACTAAATGCAGTATTGTTAAATCTTACAACAATTGATGAACGTTTAATAAAGTTGGATAATCACATAAGAAAAAATGAGGAAACGGATTTAAAAAAAAATGAACATTATGATTTCGATTTGCCAGCAGATACCGTAGAACAATTACAGAGAATTAATAATCAATTAAAAAACAAATGTGTTGCTGCAGAAATGGTATATACAAAATATTATCATTTTATACTTACGATTAGAAACATTTTATTGAAATGTCTTATAAAAAGCAATATTTTGGACATATTTATTTATTTATATAATGTTAAATAATTTTAAAGAAGTTAAAAGAAAAGTAATGTTAACTTTTTTTATAAGAGAAAAACAAATGTTTATTATTTTGATATTTTTAGATCATAAACTAATATTAATTAAATTATTTTATATTTTTAGACAAGACAATTGAGCTTTTTAGGAGGTAAGGATCATCATGATGTGATTTCGTACATGATGAAACATATTTTAACAAATAAATTAGCAATGGAATATAGTTGGGCTGGTGCAAAATTGAAAAATGCCTTTAAAAATCTTCGCATTACTATATGTATCATAAGTAAGTATATAAATATTTAATCACAGAAATGTTTTTATTGACATATCTTTGACACTTTATATATAGCATTCTATGCATGGTTATATTGGATGATGCTATTAGAACTCTAATATCATTATTTAATAATATGTAATCATAGGAATATAAAATAATTTTGAATAGTATATATACATATATACATATATATATATATAAAATTAAGTCGCTTTAAATTTTTATATAATCTATAACCACACATATTTGTTTAAACTTGTTGTTAGATGCTGCGCGAACTTCAAGAACCAATTTAACAAATAAGGAAGTTGAGGATATAATTGCAAGATGGCTAATTTTAGCCAAGCAGAGATTTGACCGAGATTTGTAAGTTATATATAATATATCTCAATTTAACTATTTTATCATCTTATCTCAAACTTTTTATTTTTATAAGAAACTGATTTTAAAGAGGGTGAACACATGCACTATCTGTTCATTATTGCGTGTATTAGTTTTTTTAAATTAAATACAACATTTAAGAACTTATTGTTATTTTTGTATAGAATATTTATTGCAGAATTGACTTATTGCACCTATGTATAACAATCACATATTTCTTTTTAGGAAAAAGGAAGAACAAAAAAGAGATGCAAAAATGAGGAGATCTAAACAAGAAAAGGACAGGTTATTAAATATAATAATTTTAATATATAATAAATAAAATATTTGAACGTTTATTATTACGTTTATTGCACAGTTTATTATTATTACGTTTATTTATAGATTTTATAGAGTTTATTTTTGCATATGTACTTTTTTTATTTTGAATGTTTTAATTTCATACACAATAATTATATATATATTTTATTATTTAAATGGTTACAGTATTAAATACATATGCATAGTTGTAAGTGCAATAAAGTAATTATTAAATATTGTTTTTTAAATATAGTATAAAACGAGAAAAGTTATAATAATATATACAGTTGAATATTAAAGTAATTTAACAAAATTAAACAATCATATATAGTAGGCCAACTAAACGAGCAAATAAATAAGATGTAAAAAATTTTTTTATTAATAGTTAAATCATTAAATTAACATTCCGTTACAGAATCGATATAAATTGTAAACGTTTCGACTGCACTACAGTCTTTATCAATACATAAAAATTAAATATTAATATATAAAGTTAGATGTTAAAAATACAAAGTTAGTTAAATATTAAAATATAAAATTGAAACGATTCTTCGCTGTTGACCAATAGATATGCAAGGCGATTGGTCTGAGATGCCAAGTTATGCGACATTTGAGCATGCTACGGATATAATACGCGAATTAAATCAATGTCAGAAAAAATTAAAAAATCTTTCAACTTACATTATCGTTTTAACAAGTCCTTTTCCCCGATATTTCAAGTGTGTGTTGCGAAGTCTGAATACCAAATGTCAAAATAGAGAGCGTGATGTATTTATTTATTACCAATGTTTTTTCTAAATTATGATTCAGCAAATTTTTTAAGTATGTCAAAATAACTACTGTCTAACAATTCGGTGTCTGTATTTAAATTAATTCCATTTTTCTGTTCTTTAATGTGGATCATTTCAGATATTAGTCTTTTTTGGTAATTCTTTTCATGATCCATAATTTTAATATTGTCCCAGTCAAATGTATGTTGTTCGTTTAGTTTAAAAGTAATTTAAAGTTCTAAGTATTTTAGTACTTTTATGCGTAGCTGTAGCATAAAAAATTAACAATCACTATGTTTATTTTATTAATGCCTATATATTAAAAAGTTATGCACATTTAAGTTTTCTAACAATTCTAACAAAATTTTATGTGTGGAATTGCGGGAATTCTCTCCCGAATGGGAGACGGCGCGCTAGACCTTGGGTAAAATAAAATGTTACTGAGGTGATGAGACAGTCTTTATTCACGACCGATGATACACTATCGGGGCTCACAGGCCACGTTCGGGCACGATTTCGGTGCGAAGGCTCTTAACAGTCAAGGCAATAAAGGCGCTGAACAGCGTACACGAAAACTCACTAATCGCGGCTATATACAATCAGTGGCGGAGTATCGCTTTTCTCCGCGTTTTATCGCGCGCACTGTACTGCCTTAATCTACGAGGTATTTGACTGTTTTTACGACGAGCCCAGTCCGAAAAACGAACCAAGAAGAGAGGCTCGTCCCGGGGACGAGAGACCGGAACCCCCGTACGCATTCTTAACTACCAATGGTCGATTGCCAGCACGATCAATCGACTTCGTTATTGGTTCAGTGGTAGGATCACGCGATCGCCATCCGGCGGCTCGGCGTCACGTACAAGGAGCGTGATTATCAGGCAATCATTTATGTCGTTGAAATATAATCGCAACATACCGCCCGCCTCGGAGCTTTTCCGAACGATGAAATCATAATCGCGCCGCCCGCCGTGACGATGTTGATTAGTACATGAGCGCGAATTCATTACATTTATTTTCATGTATACCACATCTTTGTATAGAGTGTACAATGGAATTTAATTTTTAGACGTATCAGCAGAGATGGCTCGTGGAATGTCATCCGCAGTGTCATGGGTTAGATTCACGTCAATCGGTAGAAAACATAATTTTGTGACGGCTCGCTTGTACTTGGAGCGGGCTGTCTTGACAGTAACGACCCGGACTAAGCCGTCGTCTCCCGGATGGCATTCCACGATCCTCCCAAGTTCCCAAGCGCAGGGAGGCGCTAGCGGATTTCGCAATAGTACTAAGCGCCCTACCCGGGCTAAACTCTGCCTTTCACGCCACTTAGGCCGTTGTTGCAACGTGTGCAGATAGTCCTGTGACCATTGCTTCCATAAACTATCGCGCATTTGACGAATGAGCTGCCATCGGGTAAGACGCGTTTCCTTTTCGTTGAGTAGAGACGTTTCTGGTATCGTTAGCATCGAGGATCCAATGAGAAAGTGGCTCGGAGTAAGAGCGTGATAATCATCGTAATTATCCGACATCTGCCCGAGAGGCCGCGAATTTAGACACGCTTCGACTTTACATAATAAGGTGCTCATCTCTTCGATTGTGAGCGTGTGAGCACCGATGACGCGCTTTAGATGAAACTTAACGCTCCGAACGCAGGCCTCCCATAATCCACCGAAATGTGGAGAGGACGGAGGAATGAATCTCCAACTGATGCCTTTCTCCGCGAGGTTGTTTAAAATATTCGAATCGTGAGTAGCCGTATGCCAGGCAGTAGCTAGTTCGCGTTGAGCTCCCTGAAAATTAGTTGCGTTGTCCGAATACATCGCGGTTGGAACACCTCGACGAGCACAGAACCGATCGAAAGCAGCCAAGAAAGACGGCGTTGACAAATCACCTACTAGTTCCAGATGAGTCGCTTTAACAGTCATGCAGATAAATATGGCGATATATGCCTTTTGCGACTTGTGTCCCCGTCCCGGTGTCGTTCGCACTTTAATTGGTCCGGCATAATCGATTCCGCAGTGAGAAAACCCGCGAGCAACAGGGCGAACTCGATAATCCGGAAGATCGCCCATCAACTCGGGAATGATTTTTGCGTTTTCACGAGTGCAGGCGATGCAATGGTAAAGAACTGACCGTATGGTTTGCCGAGCGCGGATTAACCAGAAGTCTTCGCGAAGAATTGACAACGTCAAGCGCGATCCGGCGTGCAGAGCTTGTAGATGAATGTGACGTATAAGAGACGAGACTAATGAATGCGATGCGAGTACAATTGGGTGTTTCGTTTTTTCGGCGAGTTCGGAATGACGGAGTCGGCCTCCGACTCGAATTAAATCGTCGTTGTCGAGGAACGGATTTAAGGAGGCTAGTTTGCTGCCCTTTTGCACGGACTTACCGTCCTTTAAACGTAACAGCTCTGTCGAGAACAGTTGTTGTTGAATGGACTTCAACCAAAATTTTCGCGCGGAATCAATCTCATCCGGTGCTAGCGACAGCGATAGTTTGGTGATGTTCACCGGAGCGTTAGGGCTCGCCAATGGCTGTGACCGGCGATATCGAAGACGTTGCGTGAATCGCCGTATATATGCGGTCACTCGCAATAATTTTGTCCATGACAAAAAACGCGTCATTAATTCCCATTCGTTGGGGGTTTGAGCGATATGTACATAAGCGCGAGCCTCCGTAAGCGACTCTGTTGTGACAGATTCACTTCCCTCCGGCCATTGAGTCGAGGGTAACTGAAGCCACGCGGGGCCTTGCCACCATAATAGATGCTCCTTTAGGTCGGCCGGCTGGACACCTCGTGAAGCGAGATCGGCAGGGTTTTGCGGTGATGGAACGTGGTGCCATATCGCGTCTGGAACTTGACTTTGAACCTCGTGGACCCTATTGGCCACGAAAATTTTCCATCGAGCGGGAGATTGCTTGAGCCATGCTAGTACGACCGTGGAATCTGTCCAACAGTGACAAATCATTGAAGGGATAGGGATCAGAGTTCGCACGAATGCAATGAGGCGAGCTAATAACACCGTCGCGGATAATTCCAACCGCGGAACCGTGAGGGGTTTAAGCGGGGCGACTTTAGATTTCGCGCTCATCAACGTGATTTTGACTGATCCGTTACGTTTGGTCAGTTTTAAATAAACGACGGCTCCATACGCGGCAGTAGACGCGTCGGCGAATCCATGAATTTCCGCTGAAACCGTGTCGGACCCATACCCGTTCCATCGCGGAATTAAAATCTCGCGCAGAGTCGATAGGTGCGCGTAGTAGCTACGCCAAGCAGCGAACAATTCATGGGGAAGCACGGCGTCCCACTCACATCGCGCCGTCCACAGTTTTTGCATAAAGATCTTCGCTGTTATTACGACGGGTGTTAACCACCCAAGTGGATCAAATATGGTAGCGATGGTCGCTAAAACGGCGCGTTTTGTTCCAGGAACCTCGGTCGACAGCGATATTTCAAACTGAAACGCGTCAACGTAGGGGTTCCATTTGAGACCCAAGACCTTTAGAGAATCGTCCGTTTGCAGGGTCTTGGCTTGCGCCAGACCATGATCATGAGGATCGATATCAGCAAGCAACGACTGATTGTTGCTTGCCCACTTGCGAAGTTGAAAGCCTGCTCTATTGAGTAAGGATACAAGCTGATCCTTTGTCTTACGAGCGAGCGGGATATCGTCTGCGCCGAAAACACAATCATCAACATAAGTATGCTGTTGAAGGACTGGTACTGCGGCGGGAAAGTCATGGCCGTCATCGAGAGCGAGTTGGTTTAAAACTCGGATGGCCAAGTAAGGTGCGCTTGCTGTACCGTAAGTCACGGTTTGCAATTGATAGTCTTCTATCGGAGCGTCGACATCGGATCGCCACAGAATCCGTTGATAGTCGGTGTCGCGTTGATCAACTAAAATTTGCCTATACATTTTTGCAATATCTGCAGTATAGACATAGCGAAACTGTCGCCAGCGCGTGAGGATCGATGGCAAATCGGTTTGTAACTTCGGACCGATCATGAGATGATCGTTAAGCGACAAACCATTTGACGTAGGCGAGGAGGCATTGAACACGACACGCAGATGGGTCGTGGCACTGTGTTCACGTATGACTGCATGATGAGGAATGTAAATTATTTGATTAGAATTGTGGCGCGGCGATGACACTTTCATCATGTGTCCTAATTGATTATACTCTTGTAAAAACGCGTGGTATTCGGTTGCTTGTTCAGGCCGCGCTTTCAAACGAGCTTCGGCTCGAGTATACAAGGCTAGAGCCGCCGACCTTGAATCGCCGAGGCTCAATGGAGGAGGCGTTTTGAATGGGAGCCTGACTATGTATCTCCCGGTCGGAGTGCGAGAATGAGTCGACGCGAAATGTTCTTCGCACCGCTTTTCCTCCGGAGATATGTGACGCGAACGAGGGAGTTCTTCAATCTCCCAAAAGCGCTTCAACTGCATATCGAGGTCCGCATACACTGTGCAGTGATGCGTCGATAACTGATGGGAGGCGGACTCTAGTTCCGTGAACATAGGTCCGGAGAGAATCCACCCGAAAATGGAGTTTTGCGCTACGGGTTCTTGTGAAGATCGCGATCGAATGCCTGATCTCAGAACTGATCCGTAAAGGTCAGCTCCAATAATGATATCGATGGGTTCCGAGCTTGTTGGATCGCTGTCGGCTAGATTGAGAGAGCGCAGATATTCCAACTCGGCGAGAGATTCTACGCGCTGTGGAATGTAATTTGTTAATGTCTTTAATATCAACGCAGTCACGGACAACACAGGACCTGACATGTCGCGGGGGGAGATGTCAATCCGTGCTGCTTGTTTGGCAACGGACGCCGCGCATCCGATGCCTGTTATCGAGACTGAAACACGAGATCGCTTAAGTCGCAAACGTTGAGCTAATCGTTCTGAAATGAGAGTTGTGACCGAGCCCTGATCCAATAATGCGCGTACGACGTCCCGGGTACCGGTAGCGCTATGAACCGCGACCCAAGCTGTCGCTAGTAGAATGCCAGTTTTTGAAAAGTTAACGCGTGAAACAACGTGCGTATTAATCGAGACGGGTTCATCCGCCGTCGAGGTGCTCGCAGTCGGAGAGCGTGCTTCATTAACTTTACTCGTGTCGACTTCGTGGAGAAGAGTATGATGCTTCTGTTGACACTGTTGACACGTATGTTTGCTTTGGCAATTTTTCCGATTATGCTTGGTACTCAGACAATTGTAACAGCACCGAACCCTTTGAGCTATTTCTCGACGTTCGCTTGCGGGTTTATTTCGAAATTCCGGACACGCAAATAATAGATGCGGTTTCTGACAAACGGGACATTTCATTGCACTTGTATTTGTTACATGGCTTTGCACCGACAGCTGATTCGAAGTCTTGCCCTTATTGAACGGCAGAATATTCTCAAAAGCGCGGATACGCGAGGTTAAAAAATGTTCGAGACTATCAAACGTGGGATATTCGGTTGTATCTCCGAGCTGCAATTCCCACGCTTTTCGAGTGGCCTTATCGAATTTTTGCACGATCAAATATACGAGAATATCGTCCCATTGGTCCACCGCCCGCCCGAGATGTTTTAACGCTTTAATTGCCACGTTCGCTTTATCTCTTAACGCGGAAAGCGCGGACGCGGATTCGGAATTAATCGGCGTGAGTGATGTCAACTCGTGAATATGCTCGTGCACCAAGCGTCTTTTGTTATCGTAGCGTGCTATTAATAAGTCCCAGGCGACCTTGAAATTCGAATCGACTAACGCGAGATTTCGCACGATATCAAACGCGTCGCCCTTCACGCAGGAATGTAAATATTGCAGGCGATTTACATCTACGAGATCACTGTTCTCGATTATCAACGCTTTGAATTGATCGCGAAACGATTCCCAATCGCTAAATTCGCCGGAAAATCTCGGCAAGCTTATACGCGGAAGTTGAAACGCTGACCGGGATGTGAAGGCGTTTTGACGATGGCTTACGATGGATGACGGCTCGGGAGTGGATGTCGCTTGGGGTTCCAGCTGCGCTTCCCATTCGGCCATGTAATCAGAGGCGGTATAATATGCTGCTTCACAAGCGGAGAATCGGTCCTCGGTGAAATATTTGTGGGTGGCGACGAAGTCCTCGGTTGCGAGAGCGAGTACCTTGGCATGTGTATGCTCGTATCGAGCATAATCATCCTTCAATTTTTGCAGGCGGGATCGCACGATTCCGTACGTGAGATTGTCTTTTCCGATTTTTTTAAAATTCTCCAATGAGCGAGTGATTGATTTGAGCGTCACCTTTTGTTCGGCCAATAGCCCTTCCATCCTTACAGCACAAGGTTGACCTGACACTAATGATATGCAAGTACGATTGCTTGGACTTGCCCACAATGTTCCGCTCGTACGTGTTCCGCGGAATGATCACCTCGGTAATAATGATCAACGATATAATTGACGCGGTCGTGTGCCGATGGATCCGCCAAATGATTGTCACTGTCGCGCGCCGATCCGGCTCGAAGGACCAAAATTTTATGTGTGGAATTGCGGGAATTCTCTCCCGAATGGGAGACGGCGCGCTAGACCTTGGGTAAAATAAAATGTTACTGAGGTGATGAGACAGTCTTTATTCACGACCGATGATACACTATCGGGGCTCACAGGCCACGTTTGGGCACGATTTCGGTGCGAAGGCTCTTAACAGTCAAGGCAATAAAGGCGCTGAACAGCGTACACGAAAACTCACTAATCGCGGCTATATACAATCAGTGGCGGAGTATCGCTTTTCTCCGCGTTTTATCGCGCGCACCGTACTGCCTTAATCTACGAGGTATTTGACTGTTTTTACGACGAGCCCAGTCCGAAAAACGAACCAAGAAGAGAGGCTCGTCCCGGGGACGAGAGACCGGAACCCCCGTACGCATTCTTAACTACCAATGGTCGATTGCCAGCACGATCAATCGACTTCGTTATTGGTACAGTGGTAGGATCACGCGATCGCCATCCGGCGGCTCGGCGTCACGTACAAGGAGCGTGATTATCAGGCGATCATTTATGTCGTTGAAATATAATCGCAACAAATTGTATCAATTTTTTTTCATAATTCTGATAAAGTGATAACTAGAATTTAAAAAAAATTACTTTAAAAATGATTTATTATAAGTATTAATTATATATGTTAGTGATATAGTTATTAAATATGATTAAATGATGTGATTTAACGTGAATGTGTATTAAATGATAGTTATACACCCACACACACGTACATATATAATAATATGGCTTATATTTTTTGGAACGTATATATGTATTATTTAAAAAATAAAAATGTAATTAAATAAATTACATTTATAATCTTTGAGACAAGCATATGACTACTGGCAGGATCAACCAGGGAGCTTCGTGTTCGGTTACTCGCAAGGGAGTAACTCGCGAGCGAGCCCGAAGACTCGTCGCTAGCTCTTTTTCGCGCGCGCGCGCGTTCGATGCCGAAACACCGACGCGCGCGCGACACGCTCGTATGTGCCATTTTATTTGCCGCCGGTCTTGCTCAGCCGGTCGGCGACACTCTGCTGTGTTTAACGCTATTATGTAAAGCGTACGAAAGAACGACGGAGGCGAGAGTAAACCCCCGACGCCGCCGCCTCTCCTCTTCTTCCTCCTCCTCTCCGTTCAAAAATTCACAAGATCAAAATACTCGTGTTCTTATTCTCCCAAATGTTATGATGCGCGGTCTCGAGAGACCGCGCGATTCACCCTGACGCTAGATCGACGATGGCGATGCTTAGACGTCGAGGACTGTTCTGTCTGGTTCGTACGCGTTTAACCGCACGACCAGCAATAAGATTTCGCTACGGCGTACAAAGCGAGCGGGAAGAAGCAACTCTTCCCGCAAACTCGTATCCGTGGAGTAGATGCTCGGTAAGCGCGACGATTCCGCTGCTGCGTACGAAACGAGAGGGAACCGCGCGGCCAACACACTAGAGGCGTGCGCGCCACATAAGAGCCATTCGGTCTTGCGACACCGACTCGTAGCAATGCTGTGCTCGTAATAAATAAGTGTGCGTTAATTTTGCGCGCGTTCGGCGACGAACGAGAAGAGCCGCACCGTAATCCCCGGCAAAGAGGAATGCGAGACGACGCGAGAGTCGAACGTACGTTCTCGCGAGACACGCAACCTCCAAGCATGAGAAGACTTGGCGGCGGCGCGTTCTGCGACGATCGTATATTATTTTATATATTCGTGGTTTCCAAATCAAACATTTTATATAAATGTTCTCTCCGTGTCAGAGTCGCGACTCGACAAAATCCGTTCTCGACCCGTTCGGGCGATTCTTCGTTTGTCAACGTCGAGAGCGCGACACGTACAATATTAATCTCTCCTACCCTCTTATAGTACCCAACCGACCGGCCAAGCGGTCGGCGACGGTACGGAGAGCGGTCGAAACACGCCGGAGTGGCGAGAGACTCGAGAAAGTACGTTTACGACTCGTCCGGACTCGCTCGACTCGTTCGACGCGCCGAGCGCGACGTATCTCTTATAGTACCCAACCGGCCGGCCAGGCGGTCGGCGACGCACGGTCCTACGTACGGCCGTATGCGAGTGCGAGCGCCGAAAGGCGCGTTCAATCGAGACATTGTCGCGGAGAGCGAACGATCGAAAAGTCCTATTGTACGATAAAATATTATCACGATAGCCGTATGGCGAATGTCAAACAACGATAATTAGCATTAATTAAGAAGGAAACAAACGAAATGCCGGGACAATAAGGTATAAGCACCGACGGTACCTCCGGGCCGGGCGGCACCTCCGGGCCGGGCGGCACCTCCGGGTCGAGCGGCACCTCCGGGTCGAGCGGCACCTCCGGGCCGGGCGACACCTCCGGGAACCACGGCCGACCGGCGACACCTCCGGGCCGGGCGACACCTCCGGGAACCACGGACGACCGGCGGCACCTCCGGGCCGGGCGGCACCTCCGGGCCGGGCAACACCTCCGGGAACCACGACCGACCGGCGACACCTCGGGGCCGGGCGACACCTCCGGGCCGGGCGACACCTCCGGGAACCACGGCCGACCGGCGACACTTCCGGGACGGGCGGTACCTCCGGACGACCGAATGAACTCTCGAAGTCAGACGACCGCCGGCGGTACCTCCGGAACACTTAACGACGATTTACGGCGCCGCAACGAGGAGAGCTACGTAAAAACGTTTCGGACAAAAGTTACTTACTATTCGGCGCTCGCTCGACATGAGGGCGCTGTCCGATTACTAACTCGAAACGTGTCTCTCAAACCCACGTGTCGAAGACATATATTTCGAATTATTACGGATGATACGCAACACGCAAGCTGCGGTGACCGCGATTACGGTACGGAACACTCGCCCGATGCGAAATCACGCGCGCGGCAACCGAGACGGCTCGTTACGGGCGTGATTATACGTGCGGCACCACATAACGGCCGGCGTCAACTTGGGGACGGACGGCACCTCCGGGACGGGCGACACCTCCGGACGACCGAATGATTTCACCAAGTCCGTCGCCCGCCGGCGGTACCTCCGGGGCACTTGACGGCGAGTAGCGCCGCTACGAGGAAATAATGCTACGATACGGAAATACGTTTCGGACAAAGGTTTCGTACTTTTCGACGCTCCGCACGACCGCGCGACACGATTATTACGATATCTGCTAATTCCCGGCTACCACTCGTCGGATGCACAATCTTCGAGATTCTACGACCGATACGTGGACGAATGCAGGCAGGATGCCGATAAGCGAAGCCGGAGTGTTTGCACGAATAAACTTTCCGATGCGTCCTCATTTAATTAATCTCATTTAGCTCGCTCGTTAGCGGTACAAGCGAGAACTCGGGAACAGGCGCAAGTTCGCTCGCGGCGCGTTGCTCTCGCCGGCGAGCGAGAAATTTTTCCAGGCCCGATAGCGGCGTGTTGCCTTGATTAGCGGGCGACACCTCCGGCGGCACGCGCCGCCCGTAACCCAAGTCCGATCGCGGCGTGTTGCTTTCGTTGGCGGGCGACACCTCCGGCCGCACAAGCCGCTTTTTCCAAGTTCGCTCGCGGCGTGTTGCTTTCGCCGGGCGAGCGACAAATTCTTCCAAGTTCGCTCGCGGCGTGTTGCTTTCGCCGGGCGAGCGAGAAATTCTTCCAAATCCGTTCGCGGCGTGTTGCTATCGCCGGGCGAGCGAGAAATTCATCCAAGTCCGTTCGCGGCGTGTTGCATTCGCCGGCGAGCGAGAAATTCTTCCAAGTCCGATCGCGGCGTGTTGCTTTCGTTGGCGGGCGACACCTCCGGCGGCACGCGCCGCCCGTAACCCAAGTCCGATCGCGGCGTGTTGCTTTTGTTGGCGGGCGACACCTCCGGCGGCACGCGCCGCCCGTACCCCAAGTCCGATCGCGGCGTGTTGCTTTCGTAGGCGGGCGACACCTCCGGCCGCACAAGCCGCTTTTTCCAAGTTCGCTCGCGGCGTGTTGCTTTCGCCGGGCGAGCGACAAATTCTTCCAAGTCCGTTCGCGGCGTGTTGCTTTCGTTGGCGGGCGACACCTCCGGCCGCACAAGCCGCTTTTTCTAAGTTCGCTCGCGGCGTGTTGCTTTCGCCGGGCGAGCGACAAATTCTTCCAAGTTCGCTCGCGGCGTGTTGCTTTCGCCGGGCGAGCGAGAAATTCTTCCAAGTCCGTTCGCGGCGTGTTGCTTTCGCCGGGCGAGCGAGAAATTCATCCAAGTCCGTTCGCGGCGTGTTGCTTTCGCCGGGCGAGCGACAAATTCTTCCAAGTCCGTTCGCGGCGTGTTGCTTTCGTTGGCGGGCGACACCTCCGGCGGCACGCGCCGCCCGTAACCCAAGTCCGATCGCGGCGTGTTGTATTCGTTGGCGGGCGACACCTCCGGCGGCACGCGCCGCCCGTAGCCCAAGTCCGATCGCGGCGTGTTGCTTTCGTAGGCGGGCGACACCTCCGGCCGCACAAGCCGCTTTTTCCAAGTTCGCTCGCGGCGTGTTGCTTTCGCCGGGCGAGCGACAAATTCTTCCAAGTCCGTTCGCGGCGTGTTGCTTTCGCCGGGCGAGCGAGAAATTCATCCAAGTCCGTTCGCGGCGTGTTGCTTTCGCCGGGCGAGCGACAAATTCTTCCAAGTCCGTTCGCGGCGTGTTGCTTTCGTTGGCGGGCGACACCTCCGGCGGCACGCGCCGCCCGTAACCCAAGTCCGATCGCGGCGTGTTGCTTTCGTTGGCGGGCGACACCTCCGGCCGCACAAGCCGCTTTTTCCAAGTTCGCTCGCGGCGTGTTGCTTTCGCCGGGCGAGCGACAAATTCTTC